TATATTCTTTTTAATTTATTCAGCAACTATCTATTGGGATGATTTATCAAATTAAGAATTATTTTCACATGTTCTCGTTATCACTATAATAGGGGAAAAAAAGGCTTTTTACTATTTGCCTATTTACTTTGTGAACATAATGCTGAATTTGTTTGGACTTAAGATTGGACCAAAGGTTTTCTAGGAATTCTTTATGGAATAACTGTAGGATTATTTAGCATATTTTATGGTTTTTTGATTGGTTTAATTGTGGTTCTTTATCTTAGTTACTAAATTTGAGAGCATATCACAAATATCAATAAGATTAGAAAAATAATCCATAAGTTGTTTCCACACATTTAAGCCTATTTAATATGATAATCCAGATATAATATTGTATTTTAATCCATACCCTTATTTCTAATACACGAGTTCATCATAATTAATATTAACTTTATTAAAAAGGGAGTTTTATAAATGAAAAATACTTCAGTCTACCAGCACATTTGTTTAATATATAATTTATTATCCAATTTGAAATTAAAATTTAAATTAATAATCTAGCTTAAATTTGTTATTGTTTTAGTTTCATTATGTTTAACTAAAAAATTAAGAATTAATTTAAATACAACTGATTATTCTAACTTTTTAACTTCTTGTGCATACAATATTCTGGATATTAAGTGATTTTGTATCTACTTTAAATCTATCGCACATCTACATCCCAATCTTTATTGATTCTCCTTTTAATACTTAATATAATCCTATCCACTTTTAATATATGTAATATGATAATTTACACTTTTTGTTAAATTAAAACCGAATATTCAAACAAATCTTCCAATCAATTCTTTTTTATCATTTTGATATTATCGATTAATAACTTAGAAACCCTAAATTTATCTCGGTCCATTATTTTCCTATGTTTTTTACCTTAAATATAATATTCCAATAAATTGAAAATCATTCAAATATATCTCCTTATCTTTATAATTAAATTAACATGTACCTATTTTAGTTTTGGGTATATTCTCCAAATTCATATGCTTTTTATATACTTATAATTTAAATGAATTAGTTTGCTCATAAATTTTTTATAGTTTATTTCCATTCATCTTCCTTTTTTACCATTTAAGAGCTAGTGAAGCATTAAATTAGTAAAGACCTATTAAAATTATTAATTCAATAAAAATATACTGGTTTTAACCAATAATTAGCTTAATTCTTGTATTTCATGTAATTTTTTTAAGTTAATTACACCTATTTTATGAGCCATCCTAAAATATTTTAAACTATAATCAAGCTATGATTAAGATAATTTTGAAACTTAATTATTTGGATTGATTATATTGATATAAAATTAATTTAAATGATAAGGTTCAAAAGTAAAATACAATATTGAACCAAAAAACATAAGTATTACAGAAAATTTAACAGTTTCTTATGATTAGAATTATAAAAATTTATCAAACTTCTTTTAATTAGATTTTTGAAGCTTCCTTTTGAATTTGAATATGAAAATTTTATTTATATCTTATCAGGTTCCAAAAGGAAAATCGATCTACCTATTTATTTAAATCATTATATTTATTTTTATTCTGTAAAACTTATTAAATTAGTGAAGGTTGATTAATTAATTTTTTTATAAAATTATTTTGATAATTAGTAGTTTGATTGTTATCATATTTTCTATCAAATTTAATATTATTATCACTATAATTTTATAAATTATACTCAAAATAAAATGATTTGTTAACGATTGAAATGAATTTAAAACACTGATACTATCTCTAATATAAAAATACTAAAAATAAAAAGCTTTAATTGGAGAAAAATTAATATATACGATTATGATATTTCATAGGCATTAATTAAAAATAAATAAAATATAAAAACGATAATGATAAATACTAAAATAATAGAAGAATCTATCTAATAGATATGCTCTTTTGTAGAAGTATAATATCCAAATTCATTTTTTTAGCTTTCTTATGATAAAATACTTAATTCGATTGATCAACTTTTAATTCCTAGTTAAATTCCAAAATTGATAATGAATTTTCCCGCCCTAAATTCAATACTCTAAGTGAGACCTTTAGGGTTTAATTTCACAAATGAAGTTGTTACGGAAATAACTCCTCTCATTGATTAATTTGTACTTCTAAACCAAGGAAAAAAAGAATAATTTGAGTTAGCTTAAAGGAAAAATTCTGAATTACAAAAAAATCTGGAAGAATTCAAAGAAATTAAGAAAAATGAGTAGATTAATTATGAAAAGTTGATTAAAGATTATCATAATTTATTACAAAAAAAAGAACAAGAAATCAAATAATTACTTCACACTCAAACTGTACTTATAGAAGATCAATAAGTTATTAAATAAAAATAAGAAAATATCATTTAGGCTTAATAATTGCATACATCAATATTTTTTAATTCTTTAACTTTTTCTGAAACTTATAAACACTCTGATTGTTAGGTATCATAAAATGGAAAGCTATTTTATAATAAGGGTCTATTTTATTCATGTTTATGCGATTAAGCTATCCCTAATCAAGGTATTGTGAGATTTGGCTATTTAATATAAGATATTGTTACTAATTAGACTATGGTTGGAATAGGAGCAAGAGAAATAATTTCTAAATCTGGATATACTAATATATAAAATTCAGGTAAAGGGTAAAGAAGATTTATAATTTTAGAGCCTATCTTATAATGAGTAGTGGCTATTGTTTCAGTCATCATTAAAAAGAGAAATATCATAATTCTATCCCATTCACTTTTTCTAACAATGATATTATTATTATAGAAGTTGATATTTTAAAATAATATATTAAATGGATAAAACAATCAACCAAATAATCTTTTGTAAGTTTTTGTATAAAATATTTAGCTCCTTGAAATAGATCCACATTATGAATATTACCCATGTATTAATGGTCCAGGAAGAGTAGAAATATTGAATGAAATAAGTCCATGAAATTTAAAATTAATAATTCATCTTTGTTTTCTCGTTTCTTTTTTCTTTAAGTTCTATTTAAAAATAGTAAAGTAAGTTCTTTTATGATTAGAACTGATATTTAAGAATTAATTCATAATTGAATTTCTAATAACTAACTAAAAGTTTAATTCTAAGATTTAGCAAGTTATAAAATAAGGATTAATTTGCTAGAGTTGGCATTAATATTAAACATAAAAGATAATGAAATTAGTGGAAAATATTTCTCTAGGTTTACTAAAGTACGAACCTGTTAATGATTCAATAATGATTAAGAATGAATATGTAAATTAAGCATGTGCTATTAAAAAATAATAAGGTAAAGATGCATAACTCTTAATAATGGTGTAATATATAACAAAATTTAAATGGCAGAAATTTAAATATTTATTAATTTTTTTCACTCAAAAAATCATTAAAATTACTATAATATCTATTTATATAAAATCTTCTTTTATAACTAATTCAAATAAATTTGTATGTCTCTTTTATTATTTTTCATTATTATTTGTTATTATAATGGCCAAAAATTACTTCATTTGAATTAATAGTTCATACTCAACAACAATCTAATAAATAAATCATATTTGTTGTTTTTCTTCAATTTATTCAGATATTTTTGAAACAAAATTAAATAACTTATAACTATTAAGTTTTTAAGAATATATTGATAGAATTATTATTCAAAATGGCTTTATCTTTTAAAATATCATATATTAGTAAATTAAACATGAATACTCAAAATATGTTATCATAAATAGACATCATTAATAGATATTTATAATTGATAAAATAAAGGTATGATATCAATTCGAATTAAGTATTAATTAATATTAAAAACCTATGCTTTATAGGTATTTCACTCTATGTATTAACGTATATTATTTTCTTCTATATATATATTTACTATTTATCAAAAAAGGAATGAATATTAATAGTTAAATTTATACTTATTTTCTACTATATGAAATTAATTTGAAATAACTTTGGATTAACAAATTATGGATTATAAATATTCTATTTAATTTGAAAGATATTTTCAAGTCTTTATTTATACGTAAATTAATAAGTGAAAAAAGGAAAAAACTAAAATTTGAATTTTTTATTTTTATATCCTTCAATCTTATTATTTAGCTCATTATTATGTTTAGATGTAAACTCTTACGAATCTAAAGCTAAATTGATCTAAAAATCCTGCTATTCTTTCTTTATTTATTCTTTCACATTATAATCCAATATTCCAACCATTTTTATATTCAGCATTTTCAAGTTCTTAAACATTACTAATAATGTTATGATATAAAAAATTTATTACTCTTTAAAATTGTCTCCCAATTCTATCCATTTACCATTCTTTAAACCTTAATCGTTATAATATCCTCCCCCACTAAATTTATTTATAAATTTTGATACATTTTTTTTTTGAAATATATCAAATCCCAACTACCAACTTTTTTGCCATCATAATACTCTCCTTTATAAGTAATTTAGCAATAACTAATTAAATATTATTTAATGAGATACTTCTAAAATATATCACTCACATCCTCCCAAAAACCAACTTTTAAACCTTATTCATTATAATATCCTCCACCACTATTCTTATAATGATATAAAATAAAAACATCTATTGATTTCTCATTGTAAAAAACCATCTACCAAATCTCTTATTATTTTTATATTAGCCATAAAGCTTTACTTCATTTGTACTAATTTAAATCTAAAAAAACTACTTAAAGAAATTATTGCTTATTTCCTCCCATAAACCATATTTTTAACCTTATTTATCATACAATCCCCCACCTCTAAAAGATGTTTAAAATATTAAATATAATTATACATTTTATTGGAAGTATTTTTTATTTTTGTTCCTTAATAAATATCCCATCTTCCTATTTTTACATTTTTCTAATATTATCCTACAAAAAGGATTTCAGCATAGCTAATTACAATTATATAATTAAAAATTATACTCTCCAAAATTATCATTCAATTCTACCCAAATACCACTTTTTAACCCTTATTCGTCATAACTACCTCCACCACTTTATGATTGTTTACTATTTATTTACATTATTGAAAAGCTTTATTTTCCCTTTTTTTAATACTTAATATCCCATTTTCCAATTTTTTTATCATTTTTATAATTACCACATTAGATAACTTATTTAAAACTTTATATAAATTTATTCTTACTCTCCATAAAATGGAATCAATTCAATCCAATTTCCAAATTTTAAGCCATTTTCATTATATAATCCTCCTCCACTTTTGATTATTAATAATTAAAATAAATAGAATATACATAATCTTAAACTTATCCTACTCATTTAATCTATGAAGAATATTCCATCTGCCAACTTTTTTATTATTATCATAGAAACCCTCATAAACAATTTAACTATAACTAAAAATTAATCATCAATAATAAAGCATAACCTATCAAAATTTTTACTTAATTCTACCCATCTACCGAATTTTAAACCTTGCCCATTATATGATCCATTACAACTTTATATTAATATTTCAAATAAATACATTTCTTTATTTGCAAAACAAAATTTCCATATCCCTATTCTCTTATTATTCTGGTAAATTCCAACTTCATACGATTCTACACTGCTGAAGGTATATTAGAATAAATAACTTCGACTATTTATTAATAATTTCTTTCCATTCACCTTATTTTTCTCCATTTTATGAGTACTACCCACCTACATTCTTAATTAACTCTCCTTTCCAAAAAGCATTCCATTTACCGATTTTTTTCAAATTTTATCCATATTAACCTTACCATCATAGATATTTCATTTAATTTAAGTCAGTAACTACTGCTGGAAAATTAGAATCATTATTATTACAATCCCTTTTAATTTTAACTATAAGATTCTTACATTTTCAAAATTTATCCATCAACAACGCATATAGTGTCTTTATTTTAACTTTATTTAATCTCTATTTTCGTTTTTATTTGAAAAGGATATAAATAAGGTGAATTA